ATATTCACCTAGGAAAATTTGTTATTTCGACTATATCTCCCAATTTTCCACCGACATTCATCACGTTTCCAGAAACGACAACATAGTTGCCGATGCACTTTCGCGTGTATCAAATATCCACATCGATGAACCCCTGAATTACGATTATATTGCACAAGAACAAATAAAGGACACTTCTATGAAACAAATCTCTGAGTATAATTCAGTAACTTTAAGAGAATATCCTATTCCATTTAGTGACAAGAAAATATTCTGTGACAATTCCAGAGATTATCCTCGTCGTTATGTGCCTCCTTCCTGTAGAAAAAAAATCTTCAATCATTTTCACAACATATCGCATCCTGACAAACGAGCTTGACAGAAACTAATTTCTGGCAGATTCTTCTGACCTTCAATGAACACCTATATTCGCACTTGGACTCAACATTGTCAATTCCTTGTTAAAACTAAAGTCCCCAAGCATACAAAAAGCAATCTTGGTGTATTTTCAACTTCCGATGGTCATTTCTCACATGTGCGCATTGACATTGTAGGGCCGTTATCTACATTCAGTGAACACTTATATATCTTCACTATGCTCGACAGATTCACTCGCTGTCCTTCGGCTCATGCTATCAAGGATATTTCTGCAGAAAATATAACAAGAATTTCCATCGAATGCTGGGTCTCTAACTTTGGTATTTCTAATACGGTCACAACAGACAGAGGCCAACAATTTCAATCAGGTCTCTTTCAAGAGCTAATGCAATCCTTGGGAACTACTTACATAAAAAATACGCCTTACCATTTTTGCGCTAATGGCTTGGTGGAAAGATTCCACTGTCAATTAAAAACTGAATTTGCTGCTCAACCTGATCGAACCAAATGGAGTGAATATTTGTCGATAGTTCTTCTTGGACTCCGGTCCACGATTAAAGAAGACATCAAAAGCATTGCAGCAGAGAAGGTATATGGTACAACCTTACGGCTATCTGGTGAATTTTTCACACAACATAACCAAAATGTCACTCCAGCTTCAAATTATGTGTCTCACTTAAGACAACACATGGCAAAACTTTCCTTTTCACCGACGCGTGTACATTCCAATGTGGCATATCTACCTCCTGACATAAATGTGAGTTTGTTTTTGTGCATCGGGACACGATTAAGAGATCGCTGCTACCCAATTACGACGGACCATAGAAAGTATTAGAACAATCAGATAATTTTTTCATAACTGAAAAAAAAAAACAATAAAAGTTGTCTCTGTCTCCATTGACAGACTCAAGCCAGCTTACATTGAGAAATCATCTGATCAGCCTATGGAAAACGAACCCGTCGTAGACGAAGATAAAGACGAGAACGTCTCGTCAACATGTGAAAAAGAACATCCAATCAGACAAACTAAATCTGGTAGACACATTCACTAGTCTACCAATCTCAGAAATTATGTATCACAATGCACACATACAGACATACATACATAAAAGAAAGATTAACAGACTGATCACAACTTCTTCTCTATATCGATCCGGAAAGGGTAGTATTTATAGGAAATGATGCAGTTTCCCGTCAAGGAAAGTTCGAGAAAAATACGATCAACTTTGGCGCAATTCTTCATATATAAAAAACGCCTATGCACGTTTTCTAAAAAAAATAAAACACTCGACCACATTTTTTGACCAATCGGGTGTACAAAAAATATGCAGTCGCTACGTGAGAAATTTGTGAAGATAACGCGCGTGTGCGTAATCCAATCAAAATATTTAAATAATGAAAATATTTTCAAAACAGTTTACTTGTCCGGCAAGATGAATACAACTATGTCTCACTGCATGCTCCTCCTTTGACCGTTGAATAAACAGTATCAAATTACAATTCTCAATTTGGCGATAATGCTTTTAACACCACGTGGCTGCTGTGTGATTCTCAGACACTTTAAAGAAAAACAAATGAAAGATTAATTTTTGTTCTCAGATATTTCCACATGTGTTGTGTTGTAAAAATAAAACAAAAACTTCTCTATTTTGTAGCACTCGTGTTAGTCGTTTTCTATTAACATTAGTACCACCACAAATTTTCTCTTTGTTTCTTTCTGATGTGCCAATGTATAGAGATGTAGTAACAGAACATATCAAGCATATTTCCTGTTTGTTATAAAGATGTTCGCTGACAGAGAAGATAAAAATGTATAGTTTTAAAAAAAATCAAGAACGAAGAAAATATGATACAGACTATCATTTTGTGATAAATTTAAGGTAGAATAAAATATCTTTCTGATATATTTATATTTGAAAAGTATAACAATGAAAATTGAAACAAACAATTTTTGATAAAAATGTCTGGTTAAATTAGATTAGGTTAAGCATATTCAAATTTGGAGAAGCTAACAGTTATCTCTAGATTGAACAGGTGAAGATTGTAGTGATCAGAGAAGTATCCACTTGGGAGTCGGTTCCACAAAGTAGCGATTCATGGGAATTGCATCTCACTAATTGAGTACAAACGGAATAAGGGTGGTTTGCTACAATGTTTGTGGCATGGCAGATCTTTGCCGTGAAGGTTACAACTGGTGGAGCTAAGGTGTGTAGTTTGATCAATTTCTACGGAAATAGCAATAGAGTAGAGAGAGACTTGCCGTATTTTGTCTGTGGGAAAAGCCTACGGGTAAGAGGTTCCTGTGTTTCAAGTATAGCAATTACATATATTTCGATTCATATAAAGGTAATAAAAACAAAGTATAATCTCTCACAGTAAACGTTTTTCGTATATTGAAAAAAATTAAACTGAATCTGTGATTAAAAATCAAATCAATTTCACAAACATATAGAGTCGACAGTGTCATTTACATAAAGCTTGTCGTGTCCACTAAAATATCAACTACAAGATTTATAAACCAATCACACTCAAGAAAACACTTACATCTTAAAACACACCAATAAAATCATAGATTACAAATCAAAATGTTTGTTGTATTAGTCATCATCATTTTTAGGTAGATACCGACCAAATATCGTACGGACGTAGTAGAAGACATATCACATGACTTCTTAGGGCCAATTAGAAATAAATAAATAATTTAATTCTGGAGCCGATATTGTTCGGAAAAAGTGTATAAAACATACGAAATCCGTTCCCAAAACAATATACACGCGGCTGCCACCAAATTCCACACACCTCTCGCTGTTGACCTTCATGACCTCATGTTAAAAACGACAGCGTTGACAAACTCCAGACCATGGCAGCACCGCCAAAAATAAGAAACAATTCGTATCTATCGTATCCGTTTTTATTATGAATCACGCACACACATGTTGACTTTTTCATACAAACACACATATCACAACATTTTATTGTTTCTCACACGCGTACACAAAGACAGTTTATATTTTATTTCAGAACTTTATCAACCCAAACAAAAGCATTCCTTTCCAATCTATGATCAACTTTTTGTATTCCTATCATTATATTAAATCAAGGTATATTTTTTGAAACTATGTCGTCTTTTCAACTGAATTTTATTCCTTCAATGAAAAGCATTTGATTATTCTAGACGGCCAAATTACGAGCGACCCTGTAACGATATTTTATTAATGTATTGAATCCCGACACTCCAAATTTTAATATTCAACGAAAAACCGAGTAAAAGGATTCCTACAAGCTCTCAACCAACATCAGTATATCCAACAAAGCCATAAACAGTTTACAAAATAGATTATTTTGATTTTATATTCAGAAATTCTTTGATCAACTCCTATTAGAATTAATCTCTGTTAGAAAGTTGTTGCGAGATATGTTTGTTGCACACAGACAAAATGGCAGACTATATTCAATTTTTTTTATTGATCAAAACCATTAAAATATTTTAAATTTAAAAATAAAGTAATTTTTTATACTAATGTTCATCTAATACAAGGCCCAATAGTCACTCAAGGTAGAGGATTATTGTGTAATGTTGTGTAAGAAAAGGCAAGATGTGAAGTTTATTGGATTATGCAGAAAAGATAACAGTTAACCCGAGACAAGAAGTCAAAATTATAATGATTGGGAAAATATTCTGCCAGGTAGTCCCGAACATGCACAAAACTTTCGAAGCAAAGGCTGTCAATTTGGCATGAGATACTAATAAAGCGTGTCCAATTCCACCGAGGGAAATTTGTTCTTCAAATTTGAATCATACTGCAAGTTAATCATTTCAAGTTGGATGTTGACTGGCAGATCAGAGGCGTTGACTGTAAATGGCGAGCGGAAATCTGTTTCAAGTTCATCAAAAATCTGAAACCATTGCACAAACTCCCTCAGCAATCCTGTGATATTGTTTTTGTACCGATTCATGTCAACATTATCTGCAGTTGCAACCACATCTTTTAAACGAAGAAAATGAACAGAGTCACCATCTGACAGTTGTATCTCCCAAAAAGTTAGCTTCAACCTGAATGTGTGTATGCTTTTAAAATTCTGTGTGACAATTCTTTATGGCCTTGCAGCATTTTGTTCAGATTATTCAAGTTCTCTATAATATCCACGATGAATACTAAATCTTGCAGCCATTCTGGTGATTGAAATTCTAACACTAGTTTGCCCTTTTTCTCCATGAAGTGTTCAATTTCTTCTCTTAGATTAAAGGAGCGTTTCAACACAGCACCTCGGCTTAACCACCTTACCTCGGTGTGATATGGAATGTCATAGTAACCTCTAGTCCAGATGAAATTAACTGTTTGGACAACCGCTTCCATGATGTGATCCATTTTTAACAACTTGCCACACAATTTCGTGTCGAATGAATTCCACAATTTCACTAAGGAATAGTGATTCACGTATATCACATCCAATCCGAAATACTGACAATCAAATGGATTCATAGAACGAATAGTGCAAACAATAAAAAGAACACTGAAAAAAAAAGCAGTCAAGGATGTACTACTAAATGGCTCTTATATGCCTGAGGACAGACCTGCTTGACGTCACCAGCAGGAATCCTATACAATAGGAAAATAAGAACAAGGATCCCAACCTTGCTGATGACAATCACACCAAAAAGCAACCAAATCCGGGAACAGTTGAGCGTCAAACGAAGTAAGCAACAACACTACTTTAACAGAACTGCAAAAGACCCTCCTGCGTTGATTATAGCTAGAAAAGTGTCTGTCCTTCAGGAAAATGACACATGGCAACCAGCAACAGTGGTAGACAAATGCACTGAACCGCGTAGCTACATCGTCAAAATGCATAGCGATGGAAAGCTGCTAAGACGCAACAGAAGACACCTGCAAGAGCTATATAGACCAGAGAGACTGGCCACTTTCATCATACCGGGACAAGGAATCCAACACCATTCCAGCAGAGCACTGGTCTCACAGAAAATGGCAAGACAACATCCACTACAGCTCAAAATGTGAAGATACAGACCGGTTAAATATAAGAATAACTACCAACACCATCAGATTGGCCCATGAGAACAAGAAAGACTTCAACAAAACTCAAGGACTTTGTCATATATAAATAAAATAAATAAATAAATAGAATAGAATAAGATTGAGAACAGTAACTTTTGTTTGACAAAGGTGGTGTAACAGGATCTCATTAACATGTAAGAGTTATACACCTTTCACTATACTAGTGGGCGGTGTGCAAGCCAAGATGGCTGAATAAAAAAGTACCTATTTTCAATACCTCGTGTGATTGTGTTACACACACACACACACACACACACACACACACACACACACACACACACATATATATATATATATATATATATATATATATATATATATATATATATATTTGTCCAATAAACATTACACAGTTGATACTAATGAAATTTATGCCGAGTGCCGAAGCATGTTTCCTTGGAAAATTTGAAGCTATCTGTTATGATTGTGAATTTTTTAGCTGTTCTAATGTTTACGGTATCATTAATCAATCTTACTTGCATATGTCTTAGTCGTTCTTGCAAGTTTTTGAAGTGTCAGTGAGTCAACACCTATTGAATTAAATTACATCTAACTAATTCTGCTATGCCTGAGAGAGATTGTGTTAATTCAGTGTACTGGAAAGAATTGAAAACGAATTACTAAAAATAGCTTGTTCAATTTCTGTGCAAAAAGTGGATTACAGCAATGTTTTGAACAGATCCAACTTCGCATATATTTTTTTAATATTCGAGTTCTAATTCGTCAACAAACATACAAGTGTGCGTTGCTTTCAACCCACACACAAGTTTTTTTGTTGTTTTTTTTATCGCGTGATCAAGTCAAATTAAAAATTATAGCGCTAATTTCTCTGGAGCCTACCCAAGTAAATAAATAAAAAATACTAACTCACTTTGCCAGTAAGCATTGTGACTTCAAACTATTCGCTACACGAAACTATTAACTTCATTTGAAGTTTTCAAAGTTGCTTGCGAATATATAACAAACTTCCAGAAATTTCACTCACTCAACAATTCATTCACCCAGCAGTTAATAATCACTCCTGCTAGTGAATAAACATTACAATTTCATTCAACCAAAGCAAAGAACTATTCGACAAAGAAATAATCTTTCGAACTTTCACGAACATTCCACGTTCAACTCCCACTAAGAGCAGTTAAAGGAAGACAATTTTATTCGAAGTAATTTACACAAATTAAATGTTCATTTATTATTTGATACAAACTGTTTTAATATTCTTTTTAACAGTTTTTTACTATGTCCTCCTTTGTGAAACTTTCATCATAAATTTTGCAACACTTAACCTATCAGTTAAAATCACAATCATCATTCACACAGACACACGCACGCACACACACACACAAACACACACACACACACAAACATACACATATATATATATATATAATCAAACTAATAAACAATAGGAGATTTCAATAAAAAAATCTACTATTATTACAATACATATTGTAATTTTCATACACTATAAATGAAAATTGATTGTTATTCAATATAAATACCTTTGTCTTTTCTCAGTATTGTTCTATGCTTTTCTGTTTATTTTCGTTGAAGTATAATATAAATGTGTTGAGGATACATGTCTTTGCACACGCAGCCCAACTTTATTCTTTCAACTATAAGACCCGTCATAACAAATCCTTCACAATTGATAGCACCGACGTTCCAGTGGTCACATATCAATCTCCACTATAATTGGTGACACCGACGTCTACGAATTGGTCAACCTATCGTTTTCAGTTTGGTAACTCCGGTAATCAGTTATTGACCAGTCGTCCTCAAATAGTGACTACGACCCTATTTATCAGAGAACTTACACCGGTCTTCAACGGAAGTATAGCAATACGTAAACAAAATTTTATTCAGAAAATCGTCAAGTTAATGCCATGGATTCTTGAGAACGCTTCAAAATTAAAGAACGTCTGGCTGATTTTACACAACAATTACGAAGTCTACAGAGCACACTCCGACAACGAGACGTCAGTCATTCTAATCAAACCAGCCGTTTGCGGTCGCAGCAACGTGACAGACGCCAATCGATCTCGACACGAAGGAATAATTTAATGTATGATACATGCTGGAATCATGTCAAGTATGTCCGGCATGCTAAGCGATTCAACATGCCCTGTAGTTTTGGCGCAAACTCATCTAGCAAAAATTCAAACCAGCAGTCGGGAAACGATTGTCCGGCAGCATGTAAGACAACGTTTGCTTCCGGAAAGAAATCACTTAGTCTTCTCTTCTACATTGAAGATAAAATTCTAGATACTCATTTTTAGTGGACACTGGTGCACAAATAACCGTGATACCATCTAGACCCAACATGTCCATGCGGAAAACCTCTTATAAATTACAAGCTACTAATGGGTCTCATATAGATACATTTGGTGACACTTCGATGACATTATACCTTGGTCTTCGAAGGTCATTTTCTTGGATCTTTACAATTCCACGAGTGAAAACGCCTATCCTTGGTGCAGATCTTTGTAAAATCTGACTTCTACATTTCAGTGGATCACACCTTATTTCCATAATGTTGTTATTTGACAAGGTCCTTATTGGACAACAAATATTAAAATAATATCTTAATATTTTTCACGTGCAAGTTCTAAATCTTGTGCGAGTTAAAATCTTTAGGCTTCAAACTAAAAGTACAACAATAGACCTGTTCTGATTTGTTAATAAATACCAAGGTCATATTTATGCCTACGCACAAGTGTTCAAATCTGAGAACCGCCAAAATTAAGAAAACGTGTTCTCGAGCCTATCACGTGATCAACAAGTAAATAAATATGGTACAGCAGCCAACTTCACCAGTGAGCATTTTGATTTCAAACTATTTTCTACACGAACCTATGTCACTTCATCTGAAGTTTTCAAAGTTACTTGCGAACATATAACAAACTTCCAGGAATTTCACTCACTCGTTAATCCATTCACCCAGTAGTTCATAATCATTTCTGCTAGTGAATAAACATTGCAATTTCTTTCAAAGCAAAGAACCTTTCGATAACGAAATCATTTTCCAAACTTTCAAGAACATTCACTCGTTCACACAGCAGCTTTCGTTTATTCCTGCAAGTGAATTAACATCTAATTACTCAACTTCAACAGTGAGAATCAAGTTGCCAAACGAATCGTTGTCGCTCAACTATCTGAAGTTTTAAAGTTACTTTGATAACATTAAAACAAACTTTCAGAATTCACTCACTCACATCACACTGGATTTCATTTACACACAGAAGAAGTTCTCAACCACAGAACGATATTATTACACAGCAGTTATGCGCCATGCGTGATACACGCTTAAGCAATCGTGTATCTTTCGATACATGACTGACGAGGCAGATTTTTCTTTCTGCGGTAGACCAGTTGCCATCCAAGGATATAGAATCCGGTCTGTCCTGCTATTTACCCATAGGATTACATACCTTTCCCAAGGGTATTAGCCCCTAAGTGAATGTAATAGATTCGTTTAGAATTCGAAGTCGGATCTCCGATTCCCCAATCCAAGCTGCTATCCATTACTCCACCGTGCATTAGACAGCAAAGTTCTCAATTACAGAACATCATTTCATCCAGAAGTTTTCTGAAGCTGTGATCAACTTTTTGCGCAAAAAACGACATTGATAAAAAATGGTAGCTAAAAATTAATGTAACTTCATCTGAAGTTTTCAAAGTTGCTTACGAACATATAACAAACTTCCAAGGCACCTCGAGGTGGTGTAATGGTTAGCAAGCTTGTCTTGATAGAACAATTATTACTGAGTAGTGAGTTCGATCTTCACTGGTTGCCCCCTACTTTCGGCCTTGTGCCACATCTAAGCTACGCCTGGAAAATCGCTATAAAAAAACTTCCAGAAATTTCACTCACTCATCAATTCATTCACCCAGCAGCTAATAATCATTCCTGCTAGTGAATAAACATTGCAATTTCATTCAAACAAAGCAAAGAACTATTCGACAAAGAAATCATCTTCCGAACTTTCACGAACATTCCAACGGAAGACAATTTTATTCGAAGTAAATTTACACAAATTTAACGTTAATTTATTATTTGACACTATTTAATTTTCTTATCAACAGTTTATTACTACATCCTACTTTGTGAAACTTTCATCTCAACTTTTGAAACACTTAAACTCTCAGTTAAAATCATAAGCATCATTCACACAGACACACATATATACATAGAGTTCAACATTAATCAAACTTACAAACAATACGAGATTTCAATAAAAAAATCTACGCTCATTACAATACATATTGTAATCTTATTGATTGTTATTCAATATAAATGCCTTTGTCTTTTCTCGGTATTGTTCTATGCTTTTCTGTTTATTTCCGTTGAAATATAATATAAATGTGTTGAGGATACATGTCTTTGCACACGCAGCCCAAATTTATTCTTTCACCTATAAGCTCCGACATAACAAATCCTTCACAACTCTCCTGTGTTTCAGTTTTAACTCGCGTTTTCAAACATTTTTGTGTGGTCCGTGTATCCTTTGCGATTTTGGGATGTAAGGGAAATGAGCTGTATTTTCTGCGTTTGGGAAAGTAGCAAATTTTTTACTTGTTGTTGCTTCAAATTTAATTAAAAAAAATCGGTATATTGTTTGGTTAATGAAAAGACCCGCAAGGTCAGTTAAGTTGTGTTTTTAGCGTTGGACAAAAATCTTTACGTGGTCAGTCATCTTTTCATTGTTGAAATATATTACAGCGACTTGTTTCAATTAGAAAGCTTTGCGTTTATTTTATTTTAGCCTGTTTTGCAACAGATGAAACTTTGAATCGCTGAAACGTTCAGATTCCAACATGTTCGGTATGGTTTTGTGCGCATGTTCAACAAAAATTTCTTCCTTCAAGTTCCAGTAAATTCTCATGGATTTATTTTCCTTTTTGTTATATATATATATATATATATATATATATATATATA